GGGGGGGGAGAGGGGGGGGAGATCCCAATCGGTGATTGAGCCTTAACCAAATCAATTCCAATTCCATTGTTCCAATAAGCAAGACTGGAGAATGTGGATGCAAAATCCATTGTGGTAGAAGCCATGAATAGAGATTGTATTGCACACAGAGGGTTGATGACCTCAATGGAGTGGGTTTAACCTGTATTGAAATCTATCAAAAATCACCGAGTTGCTATATAAGTGCAACTACAGGAGGTTTCCATGGACGGTGGATATTTCTGTGGGTGATATGATTTTTACTTGACTTGAAAAAATGATGACCAAACACAATGAAAAATTAATTTTTGATCTGTTGATATTTCAAGAACTTTTTAGTGCATACCTGTTAGGCTTACTGAATTTAATCTTATAACAAATTTCTAAACTAGTCATCCCAATTGATATTTAAGCATGCCAATGGGTTCTGCAATTTTTGTTCACTACTCATTGTCGGTATCATAACTGGAACCCATTTGACAATTATAAGTTCACATACTAGTTTGAGTTCTTGATAGCATTGACCCATCGGGAGAGAATATGCACTTTTGAACAATTGGGTTATAAACCATTGGGTTGATATTGTTTTTTTTGACTCACAATTCTGACCAGATTATATGCTTATAGCAACTGATAGATGGTTTTTGTTGACATGTTTTTCTCACCCATGTTCCATTTAGCATGTAAAATATAACAAATTTCACTTTCTTACTCTAACACTGGTGGTATTCCATAGTAGGCTAAAGTAATGCTTGTGTTTTTTTATTTTAGGCAGGAACCGACATAAGTCCTTACAGTAGAGGAAGGGAAAATACAGTTTGGGGCATTCTCCTAATGATTGGCTATCTTGGGTATACTGCAGAACTTGATATCTCTTTCTGTCATGTGTGATTTTATATATTATTTGAGGGGGTCCAAAAATCTAATATTATCTCCACTCATTGTGACATGAAGGTATTTTATTTGTTCAACTGTTCTCATTGTTGGGGGAAAAAATTAAAATTATCTTGCTCACCTAAAAGTTTGAATAATTTCTTGCATGGAGTAATTTTTATTTTCCCGGTTTACAATGTTCAGAGTTATTATGGGCTACAACATAATCATTGTGAACTTTTTTGGTTAGCTTGAGCTGTACTGGTGATTTGAAGCATACATTATGTAGTTATAATCTCATTTTAAAATAATTCACACTTCTTTACTTTCAAACACTTGAATACATGCATATACCAACTTATTTTAAGAAATTATCTTCAAAGAAGTTTCACATACTAGTCACTCATTGAATTAGATTCCAAATTTTTGTGTATTAGGTTTGATGGCTTTACAAGCACATTCCAAGATAAGCTGTTTAAAGGCTATGACATGGAGATATATAATCAGATATTTTACACAACATTGTGTTCTTGTATTCTTAGCCTGACAGGTTGGTTTGAAATTTTATGTTGAACATTAAACTTTGTCATACACTCTTGTCTGGTAATGTAATATGAATATTTGTTTGCTGGGATTGTTGATGACAAAGCTTTATGATACATAATTTTTTCTAGAAGTCTTTGATGGTTTTCAAAATTATATAAGTTGTACATAGGGATGGCAATGGGGCCCCATGGGGGCGGGTAATAGTAAACCCGTCCCCAGCCCACTGGATAAAAATTGGCCTCATACCCACCCCATATCCGCGCGGGTATCCATTAAGTGGGTATCCATGAATTTCTTAAATACCCACGGATATCCATGGATATTTATAAATTTTTTAAGAAATTTAAAAAATTATATTACAAATAATTTTAAGTTTATATTTAATGTTATTGAAATATTAAAAATAAAAATTCAATGTTGATTTTGAACTTGTATTTAACGTTAATTTTGTTGAAATAATAATAAAAATGCAAGATAATCAATAACTTAAAATACATCAATCTCACAAGTAAGTGAAAGTCTCATCACAAAACTACAATAATTCAACCTTATAATTCCAAACGAAAGTAAACAACTTAAAATACATAAATCTTATTGGTCCAATCAAAGCTAGAAAATTAATCAAATTACATCCAACATAATTCTATAACATGTTTAACACATGTTGGTAACTTCATCAACCTCACTTTTATAAGAAAATAAGATGAGAGAGTGTAGTTTTAGAGTTATGTGGTACAAGGATAATTAAAATATTTAAGAAATATTATTAAACGGGTATCCGCGAGTATGGAATACCCGCCCCCGCCCCCGCCCCGTTTATAAACACAGTAATGTTTAACCCTCAAGCATTTGAATCGTGAACCTGAAACCTCTGCATTGGTATTTCTTTTGCTTTTTACCCTTCCTTCCTCTTTTTCTACTTTTTTCTGAAATGTGAGTTCTTATATTTTTCCATTTTATGATTATTTTTGCTTCAGCTTTGTTTCTTTTCCTGAGTCATAGTTGGAAATCCGATCTTTTGACATCTGATATTTTTATGTAGGTCTTATCATACAAGGACATTTAATACCAGCAATAGAGTTTGTTTATCACCATCATGACTGTTTCTTTGACATAGCATTACTTTCGACTGTAAGTAAATTGCCTCCATCTGTTTTAAATTTTAAAATGCTTTCTCCTTTTTTGTTTGTTTTAAGATATTTTTTAAATAGATACCAATCCGTCTATAGTGCTTTTACGGTTTACAGATATTTCCCTTTGGCTTCGAAAGCTAAACCAAAAATGTTTCCCATTTTCTTCATCTTCTATTTCACTGAAGAAATTTCCAACTTATTGGGTTTCACAGGTTGCGACAATTAGTCAATTTTTTATTTCCTACACAATTCGCACTTTTGGTGCTTTGACATTTGCAACCATAATGACCACGAGACAGGTAAGTTGCACAGAGAAATGTAATTGTCATTTTCCAAACAATTGTGTAATTTTTTTCCAATATTTTTCATATTTCTTATTCTAATTGTTGCAGTTGGTGAGCATTATGCTGTCATGTGTGTGGTTTTCCCATCCTCTTAGCTGGGAACAGTGGATTGGAGCTGTAAGACTCACTTTTACCTATACTGTAAATTATACTGAATCTAGTCATATTGCACTTCACTCGTATATCACACCCTTTCTTTACCCCTACATGCACTTATTTTGAACCATGTGAAGATGGATCAAAGCCTACATATTTGTGTGACCCAATTGTCTATTTCCTCAATGAATTCTGTGGTAAGCATTGTAATAGCAGTACGTTATCAGGTCATTGTCTTTGGCTCCCTTTATGCAAAAAGCTTCTCGCGGAAAGCACCTCAAAAGACAACCCCCTCTGAAGCACTTGTGCAAAATGGGGATTCAAATAATTTGAAGGACAATCCGTGACTGAGATGGAGGTAAATTTTACTGAGCTGACACCTGATAATGTCTGCAGTGGTGGGGTGGCTTCACTTTTAAGTTCAGAGTTGGACATTCAATATTGAAGATCATGGATAGTTTCACTATACAGAGTTTGTTTGACTTAAAATCCAGACAGCATCAACTGCAGCTAGATTCGTGGATTTTGATATCACAGTCATAAGAATAGAGAACTTGAAATGATTTTAACCCCGACTTTTTTCCGTAGGGGAGATCAATTATAGACTGACTAGAGCCAAAAGATGTTTATAGATTGAAACTTGTACAATGCATTTGCTTTTGCAAAGTTGTTACTTTGTTCTGTTTTTCAGATATGTGTAGAGGACAGATATTTCTAGGACCCATTCTTTACTTAATACCGTAATTGGCAATTTTATGATGGTATAATATATAACATACTGTGCAAAATTATAACAGGCATGGATTGTACTAACATCAGGTAACCTTGATTCCCAAGTTCATGCTGCATATACCAAGTGGTTTTTATGGTAGGAAAATGCTAATTAATTAAGTTGTTAATAGTGAGTTCGAAGAAATTTTCCAGATTGGTTTTATTACCTGATGATCAGAGAAGTAAATGTAAAACCATTCAAGCTTATACTAAGGGAAGGAAAGAGAAATTGGAAAAAAAAAAATTGTTGACCCCAAACGCCTGAAGATCACCATGATCAAGAAGCTTTAGAAATGGAAAATTTTCCGTGACGTGTCCCATCCAAATGCAATTGGTAAACAAAGGGCTTTGAAACCAATTGGTGCCAAGCAATGTAATGTAATGCCAAACTCCGAAAGCTTAGCAGCTTGCCAGTGTGTTTGGATACCGTCCTGCAAGATTTAATGCATGTAACTTGTAAACGATACAATATTAACATGTCTGGTTTCAATTCTCAAACACAAAGTCAAATATGTATAGAAGATGCAAAAACTAGTTTTTTCAAAGTCAATATTGGATACCGCTCCATATAAAGTTGATTACTGATCTACTATCCTAACTCCGGGTTTGTGGCGTGGACGAAGCCATCTTCGTTTAACAGGAATTAGCACAATTGTTACTTTTCAAGTTATAATGCCTGCTAGTATGAAACACTTCATCCAATACTCTCATTTACCAAATTGTGGTAACTATGAATCAAAGTTCAAGTCGTGTTGTCAAGCTTTTCAATACTATGTTGTGCTAACGGAGTGTGTGGCGTTCCGCTATGTTGAGCTTCTGCAGGGGTCAGAGCAGGACTAGGAGAATTTCCAAACAATTGTAACATCATATTCGGGTTTGGGAGTGCAGGGGTGGTAGCTGTCTTTTGTGTTCCACTATGTTGTGCTGCTACAGGGGTCTGAGCAGGACTTGGAGAATTTCCAAACAGTTGTGACATCATATTCGGGTTTGGAGGTGCAGGAGTGGTGTCGGTAACAAATGCGTTCGCCACCGGCGGTGGCGGGTACCAATAAGTTGACTGCTCCTGTGAAGGGTAATATGAATGTTGTGAAGGAACATAATACAACCCTTGTTGTCGTTCAGGCATAACAGGGAAAGTATACTCTTGTGGCTCCACCGCCTTCCTTCGTCGCTGAAATCCACCTAGTTCTTTACATGAAGCAGGAACATGACATGATGGCACCTCCACCCTAGTAGCAGCAGGGGGAGCTGGTGCAGCAGACTCAGTTACACGCTCATGCTCGTTAGATATGGTGAGGATTCTATTAGCCTGCTCCATCAAATTTTCTACAGTCCACATACTCCGGCCTTCTGGAGATGCCATATAGGCCAACAATTCACCCACGTCAGTCTGTAAAACACAAGTAATTGTTGTAGACAAGTTAGAATAATAATAAGCAAATGTGAACCTTTGAATAATAACCAAAAATGACCTTACCATCACTGAAAAGTGTGCTTCATTTGGGTCTATGTACAACTTGGTTTTCAGCTTATACCACCTCATGTAATCTGAATTTGGACTCAAGAGTCCAACCTGCAATGCAGTGGGTTGAAAGTGTAACTTCCTACGCATTTCCCAATGCTGAAGAGCTGGGGCTAAAATGCGGAACCAGTTCTCATGCTCTTTCCCACGTAGTGTCAATCCATGCAAGTCGACTACTTGACTTGGAGCTTGTGGAATTGGTTGTTGGAAACCAAACTGTCTCATGACCCTATCAGGCTGATGCCACTCACAACAGTTAAAGCAAATGAGAGGAACAACAGACCCCCATATAGCCATTCCCTCGGTGCATATCAGAGGCATCTGTTCGATCAAACTCTTTGGATAAGGCTGCCAGTCAATCTGTAAAATAAAACTTGTTAAGCATCACTAAAAATTCTGATTTTTTTAAAATGGTACCTCCCACAATATCCAGAGATTAAGGATAATAATAAATATATCCTTTTTTATACAATTTAACTAAAATAGTTCATCTTTTAATAAATGCATTTTACTTTTAATTATAGCAGTTGAATAATTTATAAAAGAGTAAGTAAATCAAGAAAAAGATAATTGATATTACATTAAAAAGTGAGAAGAAAATCAATCATTTTGAAACATTTTTTAACTGTTAAAATTGCATTCATTGCATAACGGAAGAAATAAGAAAACATATCTTACTTACATAATTCCTTTTCATCTGATCAAACTTTTTACGATAATAAACTAGATCATCGCGTGCATTTATACCAAGTCCATGCTGAGACCATCTACAATGAGGATAAGTGCTATATTAACATAGTAATTATAGCTAAGAATTCATATTAGTTCAATATAAAAATTAATTATTACCTCATACCAACGGGTGAGGCATCAGGAATTGACGGTGACACCTTGGGAGCTATCATTTTAAATCTCTCCCATGCCCACAACTGCAATAATATCGTCAATCCACCAATGGAGGAACATGCATACTCGGTAGCAGTACACAATTGACGATACAAATAAGACAGGGCAGCAGCACCCCATGCATACGTCCTAGTGACTTCAAAGTCACGTAAAAATTGCAAGAACCTCAAAGGAACGTAACTAGAACTCCTATCAACAAATATGACACCCCCAATAAAGCGCAGAATCCAGGCTCTAGCATATCGACGCAACTTTTCAACATCATTTACGTGGTCTTCAACATTTGTAAAATTCTTCTCTAACCAACTTAACTTAATTTTACCTCCTTTAATCTCCGTAGGGCGAATTCCTAACAACTCCTCACATAAAGCTCTCCAATCAGCACTAACATAGCCAAGAAGTGGGAGACCATCGACAGGGAGGCCTACCAACAATGCAACATCTTGGAGAGTAATGGTACACTCTCCAAATGGCATATGAAATGTATGTGTTTCAGGTCTCCATCTCTCGACTAATGCAGAGATTAGACCGGGATTAATCTTTATGAAACTCATGCGGGCAAGCCAAACAAAGCCAGCTTGTTCTAAAAATGGTACAATCTGGTGAGGAACTCCCTCGATACCCTTGTTGGTTGGGCTAGCGCGTCTGATTACTAATCTTCGATCTTTTTCTTTGTTCCAAACATGCTGAGAGACATGCACACTTTGCATGTGTAATAAGTCTCCCTCTATTGGTCCACACACTATACGTGAACCACCTTCAGACGAGGATGACGCCATCTACATTAAATTAATTACATAAGCAAATAAACTAATATAACAAATAATTAGTAGTAATATATATAGTATTAAAGTGAAGAAAAGTTAAAAAAAATAAAATTTGAAGACGTCAAAGAGGGAGGGTCAACATATTTTAGTAAAAAAAAACTAAATTATTCAAACAGGAAACAAAAAACTAATACAGGTGAAAAAAATATTTGAAAAATTAACTAAAAACTAAAGAAATTCATCAAATTTATTTAATCAATTAAATTAAAAATATAGAAAAAATATAATTAAATACAAATATATAGTAACAAAGTAAAGAAAATTATAAAAAAAATAAAAATAAAATAAAAAAATTGAAGACGCCTTAGAGGGAGCGTCAGCATATTTTAGTAAAAAAAACTAAATTATTCAAACAGAAAAAAAAATGAAACTAAATTATTCAAACAGACAAAAACTAATACAAGTTAAAAAAAAATTCAACTAAAAAAGTAATAGCAAAAATATAATTTTATAGCAATAAATAGAATAAAAAAAAGAAATTTATAAAATGAAGATGCACCAGAGAGGAGCATCAAAACGTTTTTAATGAGAAAAACTAAATATAGAATAATAGAAAAAAATAACAAAATTAAGTATGAACAAATTAATAATAGAAAAAAAAAATTAAAAAACTGAAAACGCACTGGTAGTTTGCATCAACAGTAATAAAAAAATTTAATCTATATAATATGATCTATAACTATAGCATTAACAGTAATAGAAAAAGATTAATTTATAATTCATGTCTTTATCTATAACTATAACTATAATAAAGAAAATAATTTTTTTCTTTGCACACAAATTTTCTTTTTAATTTTGTCCTTCTAACTATTTCTTATATTACTCTACAAAATACTTACACCCTTCAATTAACTACCTACTAATAATTGGTGTTCACTTTTAATTTTTTAATCTTAAAAATACGCTTCATTTCTAGCAATTATTAAGAATGGTCTAATGGTCTTCAAATCTCTTGAATCTTGGATTTAATAAATAAAAAATGTTAAAAGGAATAACTTTAATGTAATAAAAGTCTTAAAAAAAACTAATTTTCAACAAAGTCGATAGATATTTCTGTCAATAACATAATATAAAAAAAAAATATATCTGAATCCTAAATCCTAAACCTTAATGATAAGAAGTTGAAGATAAAATATACTTGATCATAAGTTTGAATCCTAGTGTTATCATTGTAATTTTAAAGAAACTTATTATTTTTATTATCAGAGACATAAAGTATCTTTTTGAAAAATTTAAAACTAAGTAATTAAAACATGGAAAAAATTAATCCAAATAGAAAAATATATTAAAAAATATATTTGAAAAAATATATAAAAAAATATGAACCTAATAACAAGAATAAAACACATTGATGAAAAAAATAACACAATATTAATGAAAAAATATTTAAAACATAAATGATACTCACATCAAATAAAATAAAAAATTTATACAACAGAATAATAAAAAAAACAATAAATTACAATAAAGATTAAATTCTAAAATATGAGTTAACTAATTAAGAAAAGATGACCCACCAGCATGCTCCGCCAACAGCATAATAAATAATAATAATAATAATAATAATAATAATAATAATAGAAAATTAAAAACAATAGACAAATTTAAAAAATAATAATACTATCTAACAATCAATGGACAGATAAATCACAGCCATTAAAATTTATAAATTATACAAAATCTAATAAATTGAAAAAACACATACTTATGCATTTTAAAAATTATTTACTAACCTCTGATGAAGAACAAAAGGGCTATCGGACAAATCAGCTTTCCTTAAACTTTTTATAGGTAATACATCTTAATAAGAAACAAATAAACCAGACAAAAGTATAAATAATTTCTAAATATTAAAAACAAAATAAAGAACTTAACAAAAAAAAATAATAATGCTTACCTGAGTGTGGCGTGAACAATCTGAGATTAAAAATGAAGGAGACAAGGGTTGAGAGAGAGAGAGTAAAATTAAGTGATGGGACCAACAATATATATAGCGTAAAAAAATTTATCCCTTAAACTTAAGACGCTATACGCTATAGCGACCATTTTGGGTTACAGCCACGTGCCGGTTTTTAATTGGAAGAGACCGGGGTGAGTAGAGTTTTTTTTACATCGGTTTGCTTTAAGTACTGTACCGTAAAAAATAAAAATAAAGTTGGAATCAATTAATTTTGATGTATTTAATTTGAAATAGACTTATAAAAAAATTTACAATTTAAGCCAAACTGATGAACAACAAGTTGGTCAGTTCAAATTAATTGATTTTTCTATAAAAAAATTAGCATATTTATATTTTTTAAAAACATATAAAACTCATGATTTCATTCAAATTGAAATATAAATATAGTATTAAAAGAGTGTAATTGGTTTAATGTATCTAGTTTATATGTGAATGTATGAGTAAGTGTTTGGAATGAAGAAACGTAGGTGAAAAGTATGAAGCTTGTAACAAAGGCTAGGAAGCTTCGATGCATTGGCTACTGTTCTTCCTTTTCCACTTCCTCTCAATATTCTCACTCTCAATTTCGTTATGATAAACGGAACAGTCTGAACCCAATCAGCGAGGGTAACAATTTTGAAGAAGCCATTGATGTTTTGTGTCACCAAAAGCGCGTCAAGGAAGCCGTTGAGTTGCTCCATCGCACTCATCATCGGCCCTCTGCGCGCGCGTACTCCACGCTCATTGCCGCTTGCATTCGCCATCGCGCTCTTGAACTGGGTCGGAGGGTGCATGCCCACACCAAAGCTTCAAACTTTGTCCCCGGGACTTTCATTTCCAACCGTTTGCTCGATTTGTATTCCAAATGTGGGAGCATTGCGGATGCCCAGATGCTGTTTGATGAAATGGGTCATAGGGATTTGTGTTCTTGGAATACCATGATTGCTGCCTATGCTAAACTTGGCCAGCTTGAGCAGGCAAGGAAACTGTTCGATGAAATGCCCCACAGAGATAACTTTTCTTGGAACGCTGCGATATCTGGCTACGTCAGCCATGATCGGCCTCGGGAAGCTCTAGAATTGTTTAGAGTAATGCAGAAGCGTGAGAGGTCGAATTCAAATAAGTTTACCTTGTCTAGCGCCTTGGCTGCTTCTGCTGCCATTCCTTGCTTGCGTCTTGGGAAGGAAATTCATGGTTACTTGATAAGAACCGAGTTGAATTTGGATCAAGTGGTTTGGAGTGCTCTTTTGGATTTGTATGGCAAGTGTGGGAGTTTAGATGAAGCTAGGGGTATTTTTGACCAGATGGTGGACAGAGATGTTGTTTCATGGACTACCATGATTCATAGATGCTTTGAAGATGGAAGAAGAGAAGAGGGGTATTCATTGTTCAGAGACTTGATGCAGTCAGGTGTTAGACCAAATGAGTATACGTTTGCTGGAGTTTTAAATGCATGTGCTGACCATGCTGCTGAACACCTGGGAAAGGAGGTGCATGGGTATATGATGCGCGTAGGGTATGACCCATGTTCATTTGCTATAAGTGCCCTTGTTCACATGTACTCAAAGTGTGGGAACACAAAAGTTGCAAGAAGAGTGTTCAACCAGATGCCTCAGCCAGATTTGGTATCATGGACTTCTCTAATTGTTGGGTATGCTCAAAATGGTCAACCAGATGAGGCTCTTCATTTCTTTGAATTACTTCTACAATCAGGTACTGAGCCTGATCAAATAACCTTTGTTGGGGTTCTTTCGGCGTGTACTCATGCTGGGTTAGTGGATAAAGGGTTAGAATATTTCCATTCAATAAAGGAGAAGCATGGGTTGATGCATACTGCAGATCATTATGCATGTGTTATTGATTTATTGGCACGATCTGGCCGATTCAAAGAGGCGGAGAACATCATTGATAACATGCCCATAAAGCCTGATAAATTCCTTTGGGCCTCCTTACTTGGGGGATGTAGAATACATGGGAACCTTGAACTGGCTAAAAGAGCAGCAAAAGCATTATATGTTATAGAACCAGTAAATCCAGCCACCTATATCACTCTGGCTAATATTTATGCTAATGCTGGTCGGTGGACCGAGGTAGCCAAAGTTAGAAAGGATATGGACAATAGGGGGATAGTGAAGAAGCCAGGTAAGAGCTGGATTGAAATTAAAAGACAAGTGCATGTGTTCTTAGTAGGAGATACATCCCACCCGAAAACAAGTGATATACATGAATTCCTAGGAGAACTCTCAATGAAAATGAAGGAAGAAGGCTATGTTCCTGACACAAACTTTGTGCTACATGATGTGGAGGAGGAGCAGAAAGAGCAAAATCTTGTTTACCACAGTGAGAAGCTTGCTGTTGCCTTCGGAATCATTTCAACTCCTCCAGGAACTCCAATCAAGGTTTTTAAAAATTTAAGAACTTGTGTAGACTGTCACACTGCCATCAAATACATATCAAAGATTGTTCAAAGAAAAATAATTGTGAGAGATTCAAATAGGTTTCATTGTTTTGAGGATGGAAGCTGCTCATGTAAAGACTATTGGTAATACTCCACATCAATAGACACGCCAAACATTGACTGAATTGCTGTCCTTGATCCTTGATTCTGACAGAATACACAGCCTTTAACAGTAGTGGCATTGATTAAATTTTTTTTCCCTCCTTTTCTATCATTTAAATGGTGTGTTGCTTTCAAGCGAAATTGATAGATATCCCACTGCTACCGGATATGAAATGTTCAATAAAGATCGAGATCTTCATTAGGCAGGAACGGCCATCGAGAGATCTATAAAACTGGTATCTTAGAAGTTAGAAGTATATTTTACAGATATATTATTTATCTGGATTATGTAATAACAATAATGGTGGATGCTGTATGTTTGAAATTGCAGTACTGATCACTACCCGCATGCATTGGCATCGTTGGCTTTATTTGGTAGTTCTGAGTTATTGAGGCAAGTGGAGACTTAAAGCAAGGTCAAATATGTGTGGCAATTTTCCAGACAATAGTGTATCTTTTTTTCTATTCTCTTCATTTTTTTTATTCTAATTGGTGCAGTTGGTGAGCATTATGCTGTCATGTGTGGTTTGCCCTTCTTCTTAGCTGGGAACTGTGGATTGGAGCTGTAAGACTCGTGTTTACCTTTACTTAACATTATAGTGAATTGAGTCATATTGCACGTGCACCCTTAGATCACGTCTTTTCTTTTATTTATCCCTACATGCACCCATTTTGTACCATGTGTAGATGGATCAAAGCTTACACATTAGATGCGTGACCCAATTATCTATTTCCCGAATGAGTTTTGTGTTAAGCATTGTAATAGCAGTACATCGTCAGGTCTCCCTTTATCCAAAAAGCTTTTCTTGGAAAGTGCCTCAAAAGACAACCTCCTCTGAAGCACTTGTTCAAAATGAGGATTCAAATAATTTGAAGGACAATCCATGACTGAGATGGAGGTAAATTTTACTTTGTACTGACACCTGCTAATGTCTGCAGTGATGGTTCGGCTTCAGTTTTAAGTTCAAAGTTGGACATTCAATGTTGAAGATCATGGATAGTTTCACTATACAGAGTTGGTTTGACTTAAAAACAAAACAGCATCAACGGTAGCTAGATTCGTGGATTTTGGTATCACAGTCTTAACAATAGAGAACTTAAAATGATTTTAACCCCGCATTTTGCAGTAGGGGATATCAATTATAGACTGACTAGAGACAAAAGATGTTTATAAATTGAAATATGTACAATGCATTTGCTCAAGCAAAGTTGACATTTGTTCTGTTTTTCGAAAATGTGTAGCGGAGAGATATTTGTTTGTGGTAATTTCTAGGACCTATCACTTAATACTGTAATTGGCAATTTATTTTACTAACATCGTAGAGAGGTTGAATCCCAAGCTCATGTTGTATGCACTACGTGTTTTTTACGGCAGGAAAATGCTAATTAACTAGGGAAAAGACATTGATTAGTTAAATTAGCGAGCCACATTTTTTCCCTTTTAAAAAATGTTAGTGTGGTAGTGTTGTGATCATTTGTTATTTAATTACAGAGAATCTTTATGTGTACAAGTTTCGGTTTTAATTTGCGCATCACAAAATATTCAGGTTTTGGAACTCCTAGTTAAATACAATCAGCTACTTGAATTACTTGCGTGGATATAATCATATAATCAGAAGTTATATTTTAAAAAAAGATGTCTTGAATGTGATAAAACCAGACGCATCAAGAAATATTTTGGATTTTAAGGTGCTCTCCACTAATTAGAATGGCACAATTTGTGTCAGTCTGTCAGATTCATACATTCAGATCCATCATTTAGTTCTCGCAAACAATTATTTTTAGGTTACAAGATATTTCTTAATCAGATATTATTCCCATTGCAAGATTTTAGAACTTAACACCACATTTTTAAATGCGACGCTAGGTAAAATGAATGATCGAGGAGCAGGAAGGTAGTATGAAAACGGTGCGTTGAGTGGACGATTGCTGGTGAGTTTAATTTCTCTCCGTTGAAAAAATATCTACAATCACGAGCATTTTGTTTATTTTGAAAATAGTTTCTTTTACCAAAATCAAGCTTTTTTTCTTCTACAGATGCAAAAATTTTCAGGTGGAATGATTTAATTTTTAAAAATAAAAAACACACGTTTCTTTGATTAAAAATATAGCAGTTTTCCATTATTGGTTCATGATTATTTTATAACATGAACATTGAACAAATATATATATATATATATATATATATATATATATATATATATTATATATATCTTAATGCTTATTCTTTAAATAATAATAATAATTATATATAATTATTATTATTAT